GTTTGGGTTGAACAAAGTTATGGGAGTGCGGTGATACCAACGCCGCAATGCGTTTATAACGCCGATGGTCCTAAAAAAAGATCTTTGTGAAGGAAGTTTTGAGACTTTTGAAAACACTTTTAGATTGTCCAGAAGGCGCTGGTTTCAAATATCTAAGCTAGAGTTCAATTGGTTGAGGTTTAAGCGAGTTATCGCAATGCGACATTTTCGGCGCGACAACGCGTTTATATCGCAGGATTTCAAGGCGGCAGTGTTGGTACTGTACTACCTATATGATAGTACGAAGCAAAATATTCCAAGGGTCGGAATTTCAACTAAGCATCTTCCAAAGATTTTTCCGAAAATTTTGCAAAAAAAGAAATACGCTCTAACTCAATACTACAACTTCAAACAAACATCTCTGATTCGTTCTATGTCTACTAAGTACCCCTTGATTCAACTGGCTTGGCGGCTGGAAGGCGGGGCTTCGTGAGACTGAGGCCGCTCGCGTCCGCAACGCAGTCTGCGTCTCTCCCGCGCGCGCTCTATGTCATTTTCTAGCCTTAATTGGGCCACAAAGCCCCGCCTTCCAGCCCCCAACCCATTTGAATCAAAGGTTAAGTCAGCTCTGATCGACTTGTGACTACTAGCCTGATTTTTGTACGATCATCATTCAAAAAACCTTACTGCAAAGTTGGCAGTTGAGACTCTTTAGAGAAGGGAGGGGGGTGATCTTGTTTACTGGAGAAGTTCACAAATCTCATTCTCTCGTAATTAGACTAGTGCACCAATAATTGAAGGTGCTAGCAGCATGCGCGCGCTTCGGGACCGCACCGAGTCGAGTTTAGTTTTTAGTTCGAGGTTTCCCGCTATTTGCACATTTTTGAATTGAGTTAACGATTCTTTGTATATTAGATCATGCGAATCCATATGTCGAGTAATTATTAACGAACAATTAGTTTGCCTCAGGACCGAATTCTAAAACAAGTATTTCACAAAATCACAATATTTTCTAGTGACAACATAAAGCACTTAAGGTCATGATATTTTTGGTTTTATTTGCAAAGGATAAGCTTTCGACGGCCTTTGACGTACGGGCGGATCCTCCTTCCATGGCCTAAATAGTGTGGCTATCAATTGGCAAATTCAAAAAAGATCTATTACATTTGTCCTGGATGCCGTGTCAAAATTTCTCAAAGTATAAGGGTGTCCCATAATTTTTTACCGTTTCTAATGCAATCGTCATCTTTTTGTATCTTTCCTTCATTTGATGTGATTTGAGTTATCATTCGATAGGACAAAGCAAGCTCTATAAGATGGCTATCAAGAGTCTGCCCAAATAGTATTCCACTGAAGCTATGAGCTATCTGATAGCAGTCAAAAACGAGCTTTACCTTCAAAAATCGTACCTCCGCTCCAAAAAAATCTCAAAAATCCCCCATTTATCCTAGCGTATGCCTGACACATCGAGTATTCAACTGTACATTTTCCGCATTTTTTCCATGGCTGGAAATAAAGAAAAAATGAATGGAGTACGTTGGCAAACTCCTCTCCTCCCCTAGACGTCCTGAGCAGCCCAAACATGCAGAATCATGATCATGTATTTGTACCCTTTGTAGTTGCCCCACGAGAAATTCTGATGTTTAGGGTAAAAACGGTAGGAAATTATGGTAGTTAATAATAGTTTAGTAGCCGATCATCTTCTTTCACATTCATAGTCTAAGCAGTTATAAGCTCCTGCTAGACGAAGGCGGTCGGATCGAGGTACGACGTGGCTGTGACGCGGCTGTGATTCGGCTGTGACGCAGCCATGTCGCAGCCGCGTTGCGCATTGAATCGACCGCCTTCGTTTTGCAGGAGCTTATATGCACTTATCGGATTGCACTAAGCACTACATCGTTGAAATGAGTCTAACTTGCATCTCATAGGCTTATCAAATCAATGGCCACGCTAGTCACTCGAATATTTTTATTTTTTCCGTCCTGCTCAATCTGCCCAGTGTTATGAAACTTGCTGATTGCTCATGTGGCGTAGACGATCACTCCATATCTGACGATACTCCTGACAACGTCATTTGAGATTCTTTTGTGATTTTATAAAATGAAAATTTGATACAATTTTCGATTAGCATGTTATACAATGTGAAATTATGTGATAAGAAATCCTCTGTACTAAACAACCCACTCAGACACTGACCGGAACTTCCGCAGAACGCTTGGGAAATTTCCGCCGGGACACCTGCGGAAGTTTCGAACAATGCAAACCACAGCAGCAAAAGAGAGCACCTAAACGAGATTTAGACCTTATGTTGACTGACAAGGGAAGTTCACTTAGTCGAAGTGGCGACCCGGAAGGAGATGTACACCAATGGATAGAGCTCAAAAAGCTGATCTCAGATATATCTTCTATATCTGCGATACGTTGTTCTGAAAAGAGTTATGAGCTTTTTTAAGGCCAAATTTTCGAGCATTTGAGTCGCAAAATCATGATAATCGCTGCATAAGAGTGTGCAAGCTTAAGCAAACCACCTAGTAAGCATTGTAGGTCTAACTCGAGTTTATCCGAACGTTTTCGAGTTTTTTCCGACCATGTTGTTTATCCACAGATCGCCATTTCCTTCCTAGATCACACTTCCATTATATATACAAAAAAGCCCATAACTTCCATCTAGAAGAACGCGTGGAGATATTGGATTGGATACATTGGAGATATATTTAAGAACATCGTTTTACGTTATATCCGTTGGTAGTATCCAATAAGTTTCCGACGCGACGCGTTTTTCTAGATGGAGGTTATGGGCTTTTTTGTGTATATAATGAAAGTGTGATCTAGGAATGAAATGCCGACCTGTGAATGAACAACATGGTCGAAAAACACTCGAAAGCATTCGGATGAACTCGACTTAGACCTACAATGCTTACTAGGTAGTTTGTTCAAGCTTGCACACTTTTGTGCAGCGATTATCATGATTTTGCGACTCAAAATGCTCGAAAATTTAATTTTAGAAAAGCCCATAACTTTTTTCAGAACAGATATAGAAGATATATCTGAGATCAGCTTTTTGAGCTTTATCCACTGGTATAGATCTCCTTCTGAATCGCCACTTCGACTAAGTGAACTTCCCTTGTGGAAGACTCATTCACTATCCTCTGCACTACGGCTAACATGTTCGATAATGCACTCTAGTTTACGAGACAACACATTCAAAGCCCTGGGAAGTACTGACATGTCAAAGTGCTACGAAACCGCTGGCAATCTTGAAAGTTGCGCAGCGCTTTGTAAAAAGCCCTGTGGAGGTTCCCATTTTCAACGTTTCCAATTTTGCAATACCAAAGAAAATCCTGCGGAACCGCTGCAAACTTTGCTTGTCCTGCGGGAGCTCCTGTGTCTGAGTATAAAGAGTTGAAGACGTGACAATGACAGTCTTCCTACTTCGAGATCTGTTGTCGAAAGTTGTCGAAAATTCGAGGATTTTGAAATTTTGTAGATTACCCCAGCCCGTCTAAGGGTAATGAAGAAATGGAGTTGATGAACTTCTGAACGTAGATTTGGCTTCCGTTGTACCAGTAGGGCTTGAATTATCTGCACATCAATATAGTGTTTTGGACAGAATTCTAAGCGTGAGCTCCTATCGAAATTCACCGAAATAATGTGAGATATTGAACCAGTTTTCAGACTGGCTGTACATAAATACCTCGAAAGTGAATAGCATAAATGCTTCTAAGCATACGCGTTTGTGCCTATGTGATCTTCTCACGCTGAGAAATAAGCACCAAAAAAACACAAAAAGCACACTTTGTTCTTCTTACTTATTTGCACAATCAGTGTGTTAGGCTTCTTTAAAACAGCAAGCAGTGTGCATTTTGGCAGCATACGATAATAGGCCCCTATCAAGCCAACGCCCATCGCGGCCCAAAAAGCTTTAAACGCGAGAAAGTCGCTTCGGAATAGCGAAAATGCATGAGGACCCCAAGTCGGCACCACCCCTCTTCAGTAATGCCCGCCCATCCGTCCGCGCCCATCCAATCACCATTCTGAAAAGCTGGCCTGAGGGGGCTTTCGGAACGGGGATTGTCGGAGTTTTCGCAGCTTCTCGATTTCATAATTGGAAGGACATGATAAGGCCTCAAAACGGCCAAAACATGGAAGTCGAGAATCTGGGTGGACGGTGCTGGTATCATCTTGCTTCTGCAGCGGGAGCAAATCCAGGCGTGATAGCCGTTCTGGAGGAGAAGACAACATTGTGTAAACCACATATCTGACAAACGGTTTACTGTGCGACAAACATGGTCACACTTACGGCCCTCTGATCGAAGTCAGCCAAGATTCAATGGAAGGTGGATGCTATTCTTGTTCTGGACACATTGAACGCAAAAATGATCGAAGGCGGAGTTTAATTGCAATAATCATCTTGAAATTTGGAAGCATCAGAAATTTCCGTGTAGATTGCCCGAAACTAACAATATCATGCGTCCCGTGCAAGCGCTCAAAACGCTTGCGCATTGCTTTTGGCAGAGCGGCAACGGTGGAAGAAGAGCGGAAACGAGAGAGGTTTGAGATGTGGTGGATGGATGAAGCAGCTGTGCAACATTAGATGTAACCTTTGATTCGAGTGGCTTGGCGGCTGAAAGGCGGAGCTTTGTGACCTCGTCAAGGCCGCTCAGGCCCGCGACGCGGTCTGCGCCTCTCCTGCACGCGTGCTCTCTGATCACTACCTAGCCTCAGTTAGGTCACAAAGTCCCGCCTTCCAGGCCGCCACCAGTTGAATCAAAGGGTAGTAGATAGGTAGGATAGCTTGAAAATGGTTCGTTCTGATTTTGGCCCATTGCCAAGATTGACGCCAGGCAATCCAACAAAAATAACACCATTATGAATTAGAATGTCACGCATTCTTTTGGTACATCGATGAAATGGTAGTACGCCATTGATGTCAGTTTTTCTATGATGATTGCCTGGTTTCGCAAAAAATCTCACGGTTTCTCTTTATGGTGAACATCGACAGAACATAACGTAAGCATCATCGATGATATTTATTTGCCAGTGCATAATGTGACTGAATGCGGCATCTGCCTACACACTGCACACATTCATCTGAAACACTCAGATGCAACCGTACCTGTCTTCCTATACCGATTTTGTTTCGCCTAGATTTTTATTCAATAAGGTAATTTTGGCCAGATTCATTTCACAAAATTTTGAAGACATCACCTACTCAAAGACATGAGCCATCACCTAAGTCATCAGAACACTTTGTACACATTTGGCAAATGTGGCTCTAGCTCCCAATATTTTCAGCTCGACTGTACTGAAGGAATATGCACTGTCGTTCTCATAAAATCAAGTACTTTATGTAATTGTACTACTTTTGCAATCTGCAGTAGAGCAGTGAGGGCACCGTACAACCCGAATTTTTGGATTTTTCTTTATTCAAAACACTCTGACCTATCGTTCGATTCTCCACGTGCACTTCTGCTCCTGCTTCGTCTTTCTATCCCAGATGCGTACTTTGCTCCGTCATCTATCTCCTGCTGTAGGGCTTAGCGCGAAATCTGATCTCTAGGTCCATCTGTCTTTTGTTTTCATTTTCTACATAATTTCCAAACGAATTGTGTTTAGAGGAGAGGTAAATTAAAGTTATCGTCAAGAGTTTGCCACGGGCACAAAATACGCATTAGTTATCGAATCGTGCAGGTGACTTGCTTTGACTTGTAAACAGTTGGAATGACTTTTTGAATCCAAATCTCCTACTACAATAACGCGCTAATACCGTCTGTTTTTTTGTGTGTGTGTCTGTGTGTCTGGGTGAAAATCTGTCTGTCACGAAATTCATAGAGAAAGCTGCAACTAAGCTATCGGGCTGCAATTTTGCATAACATACCGTGCCAGCGTGTAGGCCCACCATGCACAAGCACGAGCCGGTTCGACAAACGGGTCCCTCAATGCGCGTCAAACGGGTCCGCGCGCCTTTTGGCACGCAAAACTGGGTCTCTAATTCGACTTTTTGCAAAGTTATGGTTTGACTGACAAGTAACTCTGCGCGCCATGAATTCTAGCCCAAAAAGTGCTCAAAAAGTGTGCTTTTTTTGCGAAAACAGGGCCAAAAAGTGATGAACGCGTAGATAGCCGATTCGGCAAGGTTTTATTTTACAAAACTGAAAAGATTTTTGCACTGAAATGTAGCACAAGGTACTGTTATCCTTATGACGATTATCAAACTAAAATAAATTCAGTAATCCGTTCAAACTCGCATTTGTTTCCTTGCAACAAAGTTTTTTTGTCAAAATTACCGATCTTACATGGAGATGCTTCATGAATGAACAGTTGTTTACAATTTGTTTGAGATGCTCAGCATCGCGTGGTGAGTTTCAAAGCCATTCTCATGCGAACAGAAAGGCATACAGATAGGGAGCCAGTGCGAACCTCCGCGAAGCGTAGGTGATATTAAAAAAAAGTCTTAGGAGCGGAGCTGCTGATATGACGTAAAAATTCTTGCTTCTTAAAAAATTCCTGATAAGCGCAACTACTTCCTCTTTCGAAAATGAATCTCGGTTGTCACATGTAACGATTTTTGATTTATGCACCCGTGGTGAAAACTCATATCGTGTGGAAACTCACTTCAAATCTTCAAGATCAGTAAATGATGTTTGGGGGACATTAGGTCGCCGAAAAAGGGCGGTCATTTGCGACAAATACGCACCCTTGTACATGCGCGGACATGCGTTCCTGCAGGGAATCCGCGCGGGACTCTTCCAAATTCGACGACCTAATGTCCTCCACCCGTAAATGAATTTTTTAACGAATATGAAAGGTACGGCCTTCATTCGTCCAAAAGCATACTTATAAAATCCTTTGCAGTCTTAAATATTTCCCGGATCGGTTCAGAAATGGAATTTTCTATTCGGAACATACGTACATACAGACATACAGACATACAGACATACAGACATACAGACATACAGACATACATACAAACAGACATTCAGCTTTATATATAAGATGTACAAGAAACATCTATGCAAACTTGAAATCACTCGAATTGAAAAGCTAAAATTAAAGCAAAGCCGAGTTCGCACCTTCGGGACATTTATTTTTCAAAGGTAATCCAGTTTCCACAGAACTCATCTCCATCATTGTTTCCGACCAAAAGCAACGTACTCACAACTTTATTGCTAATGTAATCCACCCGCGAGAATTTTGCACCCCATTCACTTTTATGACGCACATTCGTTGGAAGCATCCAAAGAGCTGCTATGCCTGACGACATAGATGTATAATACATTCAGCATGGGATTTAATGTAAATCAAATATTCCTTGCAATTTCGAGGAAGTTGTGCATTAAAATTTGATGCGTTAGCTCCCATTCATTACAAGTGTATGTCTAGTGGCTTATTTTATTATCTGTCAATGGGTTTACATATCTCCCCTACCAAAAAATAAACAAAGGTGCTGATGCACTGACCCACGTTAAAGTCTTGGTGGATTAATTATCTGAAGTAAGGCTGTGTCGACTTGCTCCTGCTGCTTCATTATTAAGCGGCTTCCCTCTTTTTGTCAAACCCAGAGCTAACATAAGTCCGATTAGTCGGATCTTGGAATTTGAAGACTTGAAGTAAACACCAAGCTCAGCTGCGTATGGTTTTCTAGTTACCGGTGTGTAACGACTTATGCTTTGTTTCTTGCAAGTGCAATGTACCTTACACGGGTACAGTGGCATATCATCGTTTCTCAACATCTAACTTGAGTAGTCTCTAAAAGTGCGTAACTAACTTGGTAACTCTGAGTCAATTCTAAGTTTCTGCTTCGAGTTTCACTACTGAGCCAGGTTCTGTAAAGGGGGGGGGGGGACTTAATTCGAAATGCACCACATATTCCTCATGAAGTAAGTAATTCTCATAACTTTTGCAAAGCAAGCAACTTTACAAAAATTTGCAGTCATCTGGTAGACGATAGAATCATCAACGTACAGGCCCCGTAAAATCCAATTGCCCATGCGTCGCTTTGAACACCAAGGCGCGGCGCGGCTGGGAACGTTTGGTCCCGAAGCGCTACAGGCTTTTTGCGAGCGACAATGAGCGCGCACCCTTTCCACACATATTTTTTTAAACTTGTGAAGGGAGCTTTCGTCAATATATGCCTTGCAATGACGACAACAACATGAAAGCTAAAGAAAGATTTCTTGGAATATAGTGGTTTTACGGCGCCTATAGATCAACCATCCTCTGACTTTGGTATAGGCATATATCGTCTTCTAATTATCACGAAAATCTCTTACGATGCTCTCAATGGAAATTTTGTCACAAGCTCTTACTAGGTCTTTTTATCTCAGCGACTCTGGTAACATAAGTAAGGAAAAACATGTTTTTGCTGAAGATCGACCTAAAAATTCGTGGGGTTGAGATTGGGCTAGTAGGAATGGCATATGTTACTTATTCAAGAATCCGGATATGGGTCTCACACAACCGCAGTATCTTAGCTGCAAATTGGTGCCTGCTCCTGCTAGAAAATCCAGACAGCGTCTTAGGGTTTGCTTAGGGGTTCAAGAAGGCATTACATTCTCCAAGAAGCCAACGTCCACTGAAAACATACGCAAAATTGACTACGATACCGCTGAAAATGGAGAAAAACTATCATTAAAACATTGCATTAAACAAGAAACTGACCAAACTGAATCTTTCGCAGCTCGTCACGTTATTGTAACATAATTTGACTACGCAGCGTTTGTGGATGTCAACATGACCTAGGCAGATAGCGCCAAAGTTTACTAAAACCAAATGACTTTTTTTATCCATTTGCAGAGATTATTCTTATTTCGGACTACTAATTGGCCTCGGACAGAGTTCACGCGATTTTATCGCCTTGCTATTCTTCCACAAGACATTTGTTACTAGTCCATTGCATGCCGATTATCTTGCAGTTGTGATAGTTAGTCACGATTGGTCGTATCGGGAAACTATCACATCCGAAATGCAAGTTGTTCGACATGCAATGGACTCGTGGCAGTTGTCTTGTTGGAGAATCGCAAGGCAATGAGATCGCGTGAACTTTGTTCGAGACATTATATGATTTGAGTTGAAAACAACTAGAGACACTAATTCACTAAATATTCAGACCCCTGCAAAAACCTCGGCGGAGGTAGTGACTCCAATCATGCCTGACGAGGGAAGGCCGTACTCGATAGCAACAAAATGTGCTGCTGAATTTCTTGCTTTGATGACATTTGTAATTATAGGTAAGTTTAAGCTCCTTGTAGTCTGCAATCTGAAAAAGGAAAGGTATGTCGTGTTGCGGGTAGCTTCGCAGTAACCAAAATTCTGTAATATATCTTTCGAGAGGTGCCTACCGACTGAGCTTGCATGTTTAGATAAAATTTTAATACAAGACAACTATTTCGATTGGTTTGTAACGCGAAGTGGTTCCGCTCAGTCACAAAACTTTTATAAGATTTTTCTCCACTAACTATTGGGTCTTGCAAAAGTTCTTCAGGTTGTTTGCACTTACCTGCAAATTCCGTTAAAAAGTAAATGCTTCGGGCGGTATCTTATGCAGAATTTTCTCCTCAATTAGCAGTAATTTTTCTCTTCCATCGAGCGCTGATGATCGCTGGAGCTCACACCCTTCATTCTTACCATGTCCAGCTTTCAATAACTTTTAAAAAAGGCAAATATTTTGCAATTCAAAGCATATCCATATCCAGCTTCCTTTCAAAAATTTGCTGACGCTTCTTCATATATTGCAAACCTCTGGATTACCGGGGTTTTGGAAGTTGGTTAGTACCATCACCAACCCTGCAAAGCATCAGTGCAATTTTTCACTGCAAAGTATGAAGATTTTGAGATTTAGCGTTCAAGGATGTGCAATCTTAGCACTGAGCGGCAACTTTGTTTCCCAATTTTGCAAGCGTTGCGAAGAAAAGATAGGTGTTAGAATTTTGAAAAGTTGCTTCAAATGTACCTTGATTGTTTGCCATTTGTTTTACGAGGTCAAAATAAGTTGAATGTAAAACTTGGCCGCCTTGAAAAACATAAGAAATCTCAAAAAAAAAGCCAGTGTTGAACTGCATTGACTTGCAGCTTGCCCTATCTGCTGGTTATTTTCAAAGTCCTCACAAAAGCTGAACTATCAAATTCGAAAACAGGACTTTTAAACTCTGGCAATTATTTTTAGGATGGAGTAATAATTTCGTAGAAAGATCTGCTAAAAAGAAATGTCTGCATGGGTTATTGCAAGCATATATTAATCTTCGATCGGGAATTGCGGGTAGATCCGGAAAGCGAAGGAAACTTTTGCTTCGACCTAATATATCCCGCTAATCACACATCAAAATCCATGTTGGTTAGACTTTTCCAATGACAAGTGCAATGGGAAATGAGGATGATGAAAACCAAGGATGAGTTGGTATTCGCTTTTCCGTCTAAAATACAGAGCTTTACACCATTCTGTAGGGCTGCCTTCGACTTAGAATTATTAGGTTGTCCCGAAAGTTTGTCGGTTTTTTCAAACCGTATAAAACTATGCGGACCTGAATGAATTCTAAAATGCATTCGATGCAGCTCTTCCTTCTCTTTCTTATGGTTACATTTCCGTGCAACAATCTTGTATGCTTCTTTTGATAATTGTTACAATTCTTCACCCGTCATTTTTATGTGCTCAAAGTTAAGCTAATTTTTGAAAATTTCATTTCAATGTTCCGGAGATGGTTAAGTATGGCACAAATAAAACAATTCTCGGACTGCAAGGTAGTATTTTTAGATTCTCCTAAGATGCTGTTTTTAGCTTCAAAAAATTATTTTTTCGGAGGTCTCCATTTTTGGCAAAGTCATGAAACACGCATTTGCAGCAAAAACATGAAAGCTTTTGAAATTTCTGCGAATCAAAACTTGATTGCTAATAAACAATAATTATGCAATATAATCAAGCTTAATTTGCTTTGAAATTTCAGCTTTTTGGAGTTTTGGGTAACTTTACGTGGTAGACGTAATCAAAAAGCCACGGTTTTTCTTAAATAAACAATTATAACAGACTTGATAAACGTGGCCCATGTAATCTAAAATAAACAGAATGTAGCCAAAGATTTGCTCTACATAATGGTTATTAACGCTCTTCAAAAACAGCAGAAGAAAATTTTTTAAAATTCAGGAAAAATTTTGGCGTTGCTGCTAAGCTGCTCAAAAGCCATGGCGATAACATAGCAAAGATAAGATAGATCAGAGAGAAAATATAGCTGTATGAAAGAGAATAGAAATCTGAATCAAATGGTACCTAGCTTGCCCATGGATTGATGTTCTGTGAGTTTCAGTGATCGATGAAAGAAACCGACAAAACTTTCGGGACAACCTAATATAATATGGAGTAATTAACGTTCTCTCTTTGTTACTGTAGGATTGCGGTAGAAATTTTAAAGAGGGTTTTGCTTTATTAAGGGTTGTAGTTCACCCCTGAATTAGGATTAAAGAAGCCGAAAAGTTTTACTCGAGATTAATCAGAGTAGCTGAGTTTTATTAAGGAACTCGCAATTCACCGCAACGCTTTTTTCAGAAGTTATGCCAGGTATTCCTGGTATGCCAGGTATTCCAAATTCTGATTTTCGTCAAAAATTTGATTACACCATTTGAAAAGCTCTGTGAACATGCAATAAGTTATGAAGTGAAATCAGCATACTTTGAAACTTTGTTACAGAATTTTCTAGAACTTTTTCGAGGAATTTCTTTCGAACGGCTTATCTTACAGTTGCGCCTTATATTGCGAGTTGCTACTGCAATCTTAGGAGAGATCGGTAATTCGCCATGAAACCTAAGTTGAAGCCAGCTCTACAAAATGGTGCTTAAACCTTATCAAAAGGTTCCATGACAATAGAGTTTTCAACTTTTTGGGCACATTTTTGGGACATCTTATTACTGACTGACAAAAATATAAGTAATTAAACCCTGATCGTTTTCATCAGACGGCAGGAAAGGGAAAAAACACCGTAAACTTCTTCATTCAATAAGTTCATAAAACAATTTGCGAATTTTAGGGTCATTACAAGCAGCACTCAGCAACAAAAACACAGACGGAGTCTTGAATGCAGCCCTTTGCCACGGTGTTGCCATTGTTGTACTTGTAGGAATCTTTGCTCATATAAGGTACTTCATTTTAGATCTGTGACTTACTATACTATGTCATATTCATTCAGTGGTGGTCATGTCAATCCCATTGTGACTCTTGGAATTGCTTGTCTTGGAAAAATGCCCGCGCTTGAAGCTGTCTTTTACATTGTGGCTCAATCACTCGGTGGCATAGTTGGCTCCTTTTTGGTTAGGGTGAGGTCTTCAAGTTTTTTTTGTTTTCTATACTTGAAACACTTTAATTAAGGCCATCCTGACTCACGACCAATTTGTAGCGATACAAGGAGGTGCGACACTTTGCGGAACTGGCATAGAGTGGTATCAGGTAGATGAATTCAAAAGAAAGGACTTAATAATAAGGATAAAAATCATTTAGGGTTTCTTAGCGGAGATATTCACCAGCATGTTTCTAATTTTGACTGTTTTTCTTTATGCTGTGGACGAAAAGAGTATACTGGCACCGTTGTCAATTGGTTTGACTGTAATTTTCGATATTTTGGCAGTGTAAGTGATTGTCAACTTTATACATCATCCTTTGATCGATGTTTTAGCGGAGCAATTTCTGGAGCGTCGATGAATCCTGCGCGGTCGCTTGGCCCAAACGTAGTCGCTGCAATTTTTATGAACGACAAGTTGAAGGAAGGATTTTGGTCCAATCATTGGATTTATTATGCTGGACCAATAATCGGAACGCTCCTCGCAGTCGCACTTCACAGGTGAACTATCTAAAAGCTTTCTGGACGTTCGTTCTGCACTTATTCTAATCTTTGATTCAGCTGAATTGACGGCTGGAAGGCGGGGCTTTGTGGCCCAATTAAGGCCGCTCGTGCCCGCAATGCAATCTGCGTTTCGCTCGTGCACGTGCTTTCTGATCATTTTCTAACCTTCCTTAGTCACATAGCTCCGCCTTCTAGCCGCCAAGCCAGTTGAATCAAAGGGTACTTCGCAGAAATTCTTCCCAAATTTATTACACTGTTGAATAGAACGGAAAGATGTCTGATTTTTTTTTAATTTTGGTACGTTTAGGCTCTTTTTTGCACGCGACAAACGACTTGTTCAATGAGAACAGCTGTTCCCAAAACTCAGATGCCGGTCTTACATAGCTTACTTCAGATGAATAGTTCTCTCTAGCTTTCAAGTTTTGTCGATCGTGAGTATCAAAAGTATTCGTTATTCACCTTGCATCTCTCTTTCTCTTTGTCCGGTTCATTTTGTACAAAATACCATTTCCTCCCCATGTACGTCATGAGTGCAATTCCCCCCCCCCTGGTTGCATGCTAATTTCTTGATCATTGCCACATCTCTAGGAGGTGGACGAGTTAGAAGTATTGCCATTGTAGTAGTTTATTTGTTGATTCACTTCAAATGTCATAGCTAATGAATATTATTGTGCTACGACATACGTGTGCTATATTACCAAGCAATCTTGAAGGAGTTGGTGCTTGAGATGGTCTAAACGGAGCATGGAGGTTTCAAAATTGTAAGAGATTTGGACAAGCTATGCATTTTATGTATTTCTATACTCGCAAATCTGTTGTATTCATTTCGATACAGCAATGATTCACGCAAAATTCGTTTCGCCTTGATGAATCATAAAACAACTATTGGCAATCGTTTCATCATATGTGTCCTTTGTCAGACATGTGTTCTCGTCGTGGAGCATGGGCATCTTTGACGTAAGTTATTCTAGTATTTTTTATGCCGCACAGATGGTATCGTGGAACTTGAATGACCTAACGTTTCGAACAACTCGTCTTCGTAGGAGGTCTGAAGAGGATTGATATTGACATTCCTGGCGATAATATCAAAGGCGATTGGTCAGAAACAGAGTTTACGACGTTGAATGTTTCTCAACACTCATTGAATGTTTCTTGCATGCCTGTCTTTACGGGAAAATTGGAGTGTGCCAAATCGGACGTTATCTATCAAGTGGAATTAAGTTGCAGAATAGTGTACATTGCAGAGACGGGTAGACCTTCAAGCACTAGAGTAAGCTAGCACCTGGCCAATATGAGGCGAGGAAACCTATGGTCTTCCTTTGGTAAGCACAAGTTTGAAAGCACCACGGCAATGATTTTAGCGTTAAATATGTAATCTTAGCGTTTGAGACTAATATCATAGCACGGAAGACCCTTGAAGGGGAGGGGATATACTCTCGCAATCCAAGCATGAACAACAGAAATGAATGCGATAACGAGTGATTTACTACCACTGATATCGTTGTGTGAGCTCGATACCGCACACTATAAGTAGCAGGACTAACTGGGCACAACTCAGTGATGTCCTCACACTGATCCAGTGCGGACTACTGACTATCTGGTGGACTGAATTTTCGTTGCCCTCGTTCGATGTGCCCGGCATGTTGGGCTGAGAAAACGTCAAGCGAAGCGAACTCAGACGAGGTCTTTGGCGGCACAGTAACAGCAGATACGTAACCTACAATCCTTTTCAGACCTCCAACAAAGAGGAGTTTGTATGAAACGTTAGATCAATGAAGTTCCACCATACCAACCTGTGCGGCATAAGAAAAACTAGTAGGACATCTTAAGCAGACACTTTTGCTTCACATTCAAGCGTTTTAAACAGACATTTACACTTTTTTGTGGAGCTCTCCTAGAAGACGACATAGTAGATCAGCTCTGCCATCCGCAGACAATAGGGCTGTCTCGATCCACGTTCTCTGGGCTTCCCTTCTTCGCAAAATTTTCGGTCCCTATTCATGCTGGCAGTTTATGGAAAGATCAAGAGAGGGACTGCTGAAAGTTACAGAAGCAATTGATGGAAAGAAAGGAGTTTCAAACAACTTTTCTTTGCGCGTGACCGGCTTAAAACATCTTTCTGAAACTGCTGCAGGATATTAAAAATTCAAAAAGCCTATGATTTATGGACTCACTCGCGCGAATTCAAGGAAATAAGCTGCACTATTTCATAGTTATGATGGAGTTTTTGTGAATTCAGTCTCAAGAAGCCAATATCATGAAAACGCATTTTCGCCTCAAAGTTCCTCCTTAAAGTCATCTGACGACCATCTTTATGTTTCGAGATGGTGCTACTTTCTACTTTTGAAGATAGTTATCACTGCTGAGGTAGATAAATTTCTTTCAGCATGATACTCCCGATGTGCATAGTCCAACTATGAAAATGATCTTCAAAGTGCCTTAACTGTTTTTTTTTACAAAAATCGACCGGCCTAAACAAAAGGATTTGCTACCAAAGGACACTATACCGTTTTAAGTACTGACTGGAATCGTGTGGCACATAAGCATATCGCTTCAACCCATTGAAGCAGCTGAGCGGTTTGTTTGAAAAATCGGAAAAGGTGCTTTTGTACGCGTGAAATTAGGGTATTTATTTATGTGATACATGTGAGAGACTGCCGAAATGAAAGAAGGAATCATAAGCAAACTAAAGTCGCTTTTCTTCTTCAAATGGCGAATAATGTTTGAAAAATTTCATGTTTTCATTCCCAAGCGCAAAATAAGTTAGCAGTGACCAGGATCTGACTGACCAATTTATTCTATGGCAGACGAACCTTAGAAAACCTGAGAGAACGAACGGAGAAGCTCAAGGTAAAGAGCTCACCAGCCGTCAATCTCCACCAATGACTCCTTTATGCAACAAAGCGTTTCTGTCTACAACGGATGCAAAAAGTGTGAAAATCTGAAAAATCCAACAAAAAAATCTCTAGCAAAGAAATTGCAGAAGTTCAAAAGTGCAAACTTGGAAGACATGAACGAAAGACTATATTATTCGGTAAGAGGCAAATAAAACACCTCTGATTTTCAGTCTGCTAGAACATTAATTGCTGTTCTCTGAAAATCTGGCTTAATTTTGGCCTGGTCTCGAGGCGCAAATGTGCCGAAACAAAGCATCATTAGGCAAATCCGTCTGTTTAAGCCTACGCAAATCTAGAGCAAGCCTAAAAGTGCAAATGGCAGTGCATGAGGATAACACGATTTGGTAACGCATCTGTAGTGAACAAAGCTGATTAACGTTTTCTGCAGTCTAGTTCCTTATTTCTTTGGAAAAGGGAGTCCACTCAGGTGGAGCATGTGCCAATGGCGGCAAAACATAGGATTTGTATTAGGTTGTCCGGAAATTATGTCCGTTTTGAATTTCAACCGCAATAAGTCATACACTTTTAATTCCTGAAAAGCTTTCAGAGTATCATTCGATAGCGCAAAGCAAGCTTTACAAGGATGGCAGTCTTGTTTTAGCAACAGCTCTGATCCACCTTGAGTTTCGAGCCAAAAAGTAAAAAGATTCAACTGCCCTAAAAATCGAGAAAAATCGTGACTCAGTTCATAGTAATCCTACAAATTTCTAACTTGCTCACGAACACTATCCACATAAGACATCTGTATACGCCGTTGCCGCATTTTTTTAAAAATCTAGAAAACGGAAAATTTCGTGCATTTATCAAATCAAAGTGATGCTGTGCCGTCCTCACACAGGTAATTGTTTACTACAAACCTGTAGAAGTATAAACGTGAAGTTCCAGCTCTCTACAAGCTCTAGTTCTCGGAAAAGTAGAGTTTTAGCTTGGACCACCTGACTAAAAAAAAGCTATATTCGATATTTCCCGAGAACTAAAGCTTGTAGAGAGCTGTACTTCTACAAATTTGTAATACACATCTACTTATGTTGGGACGACACAGCATCACTTTGGCATAAGCATGAAAATTTCCGTTTTCCTGATTTTAACAGAGGAAAAAATACGGCAACAGCGTACATAGATGTCTTATGTGGTTAGTGTCATACCTTCGATAGTCTAGAGACAGGGCGCCAAAAGTGAAGGTTGTTTGAACATCTGACGTCATAAATAGTGAAGGTTGTTTGAAGAAGATCAGAGAAGAAAAAATGACGTAAAATAGATATAAAAAGCAAGAGAAACTGCTGAAAACCAGATAAAAATGCTGCAATAAGGTTTGAAATCTTTCGTTTGGCGGCTTTTTAGAGTGCAAGTTTTCGCTTCAAGACCAGCAATTCGCAACGCGGGGTTTTGATTTTTGATGCGTCCTTTGAATTTTTGCCCTCGCGCCGTCCCTCTTGTACCCTGCGACGTTGTCTGGATTCTTCTGCTCATCATTCTGAGCAAGTATCGTCCAAGCTGGAGAAAATTCGTTGCGAAACCACTGAAAAAGAATAAGGTAAAGAAAAACGCATTTTTTGTAATTTTCACAAAAAAACCGGCATAAGCAGAGAAATAAGCTCGGCGACGTTGTCTACATTATAGACAGAAACAAGACCTATCGACTACACAAAAAAACTGCGTGAAAAGAGTCAAACTAGGAGAAAAACGAGAGATTTTCGAAAACAAGGTTTTTGCCGGATTTCTCGTTTAAATCATAAAAAGGAGTCTTGCGACGTTGTCAGCGTGAAAATAGAGATCAAGAGCTTCAAAATGATATATAGCTTGCTAAAATTGGATTCGAAACAGCGAAGAAAAGGGTACCAGAGCCAAATGCCCCGCGCTCCGCGTTTGGGGTAGCGAGGTAGCGCGCAGCGTGCGGAGACGCAGACGAGCAGCGGAGACAGACCAGAGCCGGCGGGGCATTTGGCTCTGGTCATTGATCTCCGCGGGGTCATAACAAAACCCTATAATATTATATATCGTTGTGATCCTCATGAGACGGCCAGGAGCACTGACAACGTCGCAGGTCTTGAAAATCACTCCATAACGAGATAGACCAGCATTTATGTGGCGACTCTCTGCGCAAGATTTCAGCGCAGTTTCTCGTTTTTGTTGAATTTCAGCGGCTTTCATGAACCTCCAACGCTCAATCGCAGTCTACAGAAAGGTTAATTGATAAGTTTCATCCTAATTTCTAACTGAATTTTTAAAGAAAAACCTTCTTTTCAGCAAAAAAAGGCCATAAAAACGCGATCCTTCGGTTTTTTGCGTTTTTTCTGGATGTCACTACTATATTTGCCTCATTCACATTCATCCTTACATAGTTAGTCATTAGTTATATCATAATATCCGGGCTTCGCCCCGATGACTTCTGTATTCCTCTCCAGGTGAAGGTTGTGTCCTCTCATGACACTCAAAGTGAAGGTTACCAGAGTACGTAGCTCGTATCGAAGGTATGGTTAGTGTTTACGTGAGCAAGTTAGAATTTTTGTAGGATTCTTATGAACTGATATCATTTTTCTCGATTTTTCAGACTGTTGAATCTTTTTAGATTTGGCTCGAAACTCAAGGTGGATCAGAGCTGTTGCTAAAGCAAAATTGCCATCTTTGCTTTGCTCTATCGAATGCTACTATGAAAGCTATTCGGGAATGAAAGTGACTTATTGCGGTTGAAATACAAAACGGACATTAATTTCCGGACAACCTACTACGAGTGCAGACATTACTATGGATGCATCTTGGTATGGTGGAAAGGTCTGATAATGATTTCTTGGGTGTCAGTTCATTAGAGAAAAGAATCCAGGTTACCCTTTGATTTAACTGGATAGCCTGCTGGAAGGCGGGGCTTCGTAACCTTTTTATAGCTAAATAATGATCAGAGAGCATGCGCCGAGAGAGACGCAGACTGCGTTGGAGGCGCGAGCGGCCTTAACTAGGTCACAAAGTCCCGCCTTCAAGCCGCCAAAATTGAATCAAAGGATACCTTGTCGATAACTGTATTGTTCAGGATTGACAAAATTTGGCGGTGAGTGCTTGTTATTGAAACGGATGAAACAGTATCACAATTGGACTGAAACAGCAGAAGCAAGTGCAAAATGTCCAAACAGAAGTTAATGCGGATAACATTGACCGCTCAGTGGATGTAAGAACGGAATTGCACCATCGAGCCATTGATGACATATCTATAAAAACTTCATTGTTTAAAAGGACTTCTTTGAGCAAAGAAGCTATAGCGTTGGAAGTTCAAGACAGCGTACTTGCATAAATGTTCCCATCAGCAACACGATAGCGCTAAATTTGTAGTTTTGGTGGAACTTCTATTTGATCGAAGGCCACTAGTGTCCATAACACAACAATTACATCGACATTCATGGGAATGATTCTACAGTTTAGATTGCACTTTACAAATTTATAGCATGAGAATCTGCAGCACTGTGATCTTGCTGATTTGAGCCTCCGACAGTTCAGCTCCCTTACCTCTACTAACAGTCATACATATTCAAAGCTCTCCGTTGTGCATTTATATCGAATGCTTGTTTCATAGATTGACACAAGAGCAACGGATGCAAATTAAGCAAAATACCGTAGTACCCCCCATGGTATTACGGTAGAATACGGTAATACGGCAACGAAAATGTGGCTAAAGGCATTGACTGCTCAGTGGATGTGAAGACGGGATTGCTGCTCGAGCCCTTGATGGCATATTTGAAAAAAAAAACTTCAGTGTTTGAAATGATTTCTTTGAGGAGAAGAAGCAATAGCGTTAGAAGTTCAAGGCAGCGTACTTGCATGAAATGTTCACATCGGCAACAAGATAACGCTGATTCTCTAGCTTTGGTGGAAATTCTATTTGATCAGGCCATGGTGCCCATAACATAACAATTACATCGACATCCGTGGGATTGATTCTACGGTTTAGATTGCACTCTAAAAATTTATGGCATGAGAATCTGCAGCACTGTGATCCTGCTGATTTGAGTCCTCCTCTATACAGCTTAGCTTCCTTACCCCTACTAATAGTCATACATATTCAAAGCTCTCCGTTGTGCGTTCATATTGAATGCTTGTTTCATACATTGACACAAGAGCAACGCATGCAAATTTAGCAAAATACCGCACACCCTGCATGGTATTGCGGTAGAATACGGTTAGAGAAGCTGTCTTCCTCAAGCTTTATCTGTCTAGTGCGTTTAAGGCTGACTTACAACTATTCGCATCAATGCTATTGTGGTTTGGAAAATCAGGAGTCTACTGGTGCAACATCGGCGAAAGTGACGTAAGCTTGTAAACGCTATACTATATAGCTATACTATAGGCTAAGGGCATACCTCACGCGATTTCAGTCGCGCCGCGATTTGGAGGGGTTTCAAAATGTACGAAATATAGGCCCTTTTATCAACTTACCAAAATTGAATATGCTGTGCATTTGGGGTCTGCCAGTATTGAATTTGAAGGTATCTGGCATATTGCCAGATCGCGTGGCGACTGTAATCGCGTGAGGTATGTCCTTAGCCATACACTACTAAGCTATATGTACAATCTAGACGTGCTTTCTGGAAAAATTTTTTTCGCACTCTTACATACAACAATATATCGATACCACATAATGTAAGCATCATCGATAACATTCCGCAGTGCGAAATGTGACTGCCATAATGCTAGCCGCTACCAACGCAATGTACACTGTCATTCTGGAGAAATGCAAGCGTACTTGTCTACGCATACTGATCTTATTTCTCCTCGACTCTCCCTTGATAAGGTGACGTTTATCATTTTCGAAGGTCATCCCAAATTTTCATTCCAATGTGTGGTTCATTTCACACATCATGAATGACATAGCCCCTGAATCACCGCCAGTACGTTATTAAACTGAAGTGCGGTCTTACGTTATTTCTGATCTGTTTGTGTTTTCTTGCAATTGAAGAAGGAACAGGCACCAGATAAACCCTTGCTAGAATCCGCTGACAAGGCTGACAAGACCGACAAGCCCAAATCTCGCGAGGTAACTAAGTTTGAGTTCAACTGTAAGTTGCAGCTAATTAATAAACGAAAACGAGTGGAATCGGTATCTGGCTGAGGGGTTCAGATATGGTCCGCTGTTCTCGGTACAATTATGACGCCTTACAGTCAGTATTACCAGCTTGAAAACTCAATTAGTCGAAGTAACTTATACTGACCTTGCTGTCATTAATGGTTTTAATAAGCCTCATGAATCATCACGGTGATGACCAAGCCATTTGGGCAGAAGTCCCACTGACGTTTCTCGCGCATTTGGCGTGTGCATACGCGCGTGTGCACGAAATCATTGTGTGGGAGTTTTCTTGAAGCTTATCAAATGTTTTGAATTAGGCTTTGGCCATACTTCGCCAGTGTTGCCGGTGTTTTAAGTGTTGAAAGTGTTGCCGGTGTTGAAAGTGTTGAAAGCGTTAGGCTTTGGCCATACTTTGCCCGTGTTACCGGTGTTGCCAGTGTTGCCAGTGTTGAAAGTGTTGCCGGTGTTGAAAGTGTTGAAAGTGTTACCAGTGTTGAAAGTGTTGAAAGTGTTGCCGGTGTTGAAAGTGTTGAAAGTGTTACCGGTGTTGAAAGTGTTGAAAGTGTTGCCGGTGTTAGAAAGTGTTGAAAGTGTTGAAAGTGTTGAAAGTGGGAATCATCAGTCTTGCAGTTTCATTCTTCCTCGAACGATCTCACCGGCTGGTGAGTACGTCTGGGATGGAAATGGGAAATGAGAAATGAGACTGAATAGAGATAGGAAATGCTTTCGCAAAAGCTCCTCGAACAAATATTTTAGAAAGTGAAGGTCTTGTTTAGAAGAAGCAATCTCAACATTTGAGAACGCTGCGACCTCCCAGAGATCTTTTGCTCACTAATCGCAGAAGCGCCGGATTCGACACCTAACACGCATTCTCATTAGACCTTACATCTCAAGTGTTGGAGATTGCCTATTCAGAACAAGTCCTTCACTTTCCAAAAAGTACGTTCGAGGAGTTTTTGCGAAAGCATTTCCTATTTCATTTCAGTCTCATTTCTCATTTCCCATTTCCATCCCAGACGTACTCACCAGCCGGTGAGATCGTTTGAGGAAGAATGAAACTGCAAGACTGATGATTCCCGCTTTCAACACTTTCAACACCGGCAACACTTTCAACACTTTCAACACCGGTAACACTTTCAACACTTTCAACACTTTCAACACCGGCAACACTTTCAACACTGGCAACACTGGCAACACCGGTAACACGGGCAAAGTATGGCCAAAGCCTTACCGGTGTTGAAAGTGTTGAAAATGTTGCCAGTGTTGAAAGTGTTGAAAGTGTTGCCAGTGTTGAAAGTGTTGAATGGAGATCCTAGCAGTTTCATTCTTTCTCGAACGATCTCACCGGCTGGTGAATACGTTGGAAATGGAATTGGGGAATGAGAAATGAAATTGAAATGAGATGGGGAAGATTTTCGCATGCAAGAGATCCTCAAACAAACTTTGAAAGTGGATGGCTTGTCTGGAATAGGCAATCTCCAATATCTGAAAAAGCTGAAGTCTGAGTAGTAATGTGTTTTAGTTCGAATCCTGCCGCGCTTGCGATTAGTGAGTGAAGGGTCTAAGTGAGGTCTGCAGCGTTTTCAAATATTGGAGATTGTTTATTCCAGACAAGCCATCCACTTTCCAAAAAGTTTGTTTGAGGATTTTTTGCATGCGGAAATCTTCCCCATCTCATTTCAATTTCATTTCTCATTCCCCAATTCCATTTCCAACGTATTCACCAGCCGGTGAGATCGTTCGAGAAAGAATGAAACTGCTAGACTGATGATCTCCATTCAACACTTTCAACACTGGCAACACTTTCAGCACTTTCAACACTGGCAACACTTTCAACACTGGCAACACTTTCAACACTTTCAATACCGGCAACACTTTCAACACCGGCAACACTGGCAAAGTATGGCCAAAGCCTTAGTTTTGAATTAGAAGTCTGAAGATTTTTGCATCGCTTTCCCCTCCTGCGATGGCTATGTCTGGGAAGTCTTCTTTTGGAAAAAAGCACCTCGTGGATGTTTTTTGTCTAAAGGGCCGGGGATACTTCAGCGATTACAGTCGTGGCGCGATTTGGCGATATTCTAACTGTCCATAACTCACCGTAAGCACATTTTAAATGTACAGAGGAAAAGGCATCTTATCGGTTCACGTAAGTTATTCACACTATACATGTGCAGTTTGCTATTGTTGGATCTGAAGACCTCTGGCGAATTGCCAGATTGCGTCGCGACTGAAATCGCGTGAAATATGTCCGGCCCTTAACGATAAGTTCATCCTTGTTTGCTCTCAGGACAGTTATACAGAGTTTCCGCCTTTTCTGAAAACATGATTCGCGTGTATTACCACGTCGAATACCTAGAATTGCGGTTAAAACTCCTGGACCTCCGCCAGATGCCCTCTGTTCTGTATGACAAACAAGCCACCAGTATTATTACTGCCTAGAAGTTACCTTAGAACATCTCGTTCACAACTGGAAAAGCTGGTATGCATGCACGAAAATACTATATGGGAGTCAAGGCTTTGATAAGAGTATGCCTGCTGTCGTCACCTTGAGAAAGCTATATCCAGACAAGGTTGGGGGTTTTGGGATTTTAGTGCCATGCAAAAGTGGACCACTTTGAACACGCCACCACAAAGTGTTGTCAAGTGTTTTGTGGCATATGTTTCGCGGAATAGGTTTCAAAAGCACTTATTTAAATTTTTGGTGAATGTGCTTCTTCCTTGTAATGAAAATAACCATAACCATTGTAAGTTCGCTCCATCAGGCTGTCTTTCAAGAAAATATATCCGTCAGGACTTGAAAAAATTCTAAACGCTCATAATTCCTCCCAGATAATCGCTCGGCAGATAAAACACATATATTTGCAACCAGCAAGACGAGTCCGATGATATACAGCTTGTTTGGAATGGCTGGGTTAAATTCTTACCATTTCTTCGGCAGCTATGTTCGCTTCACTAGCTTGCCTTTTGAAGTAGAACTTACGTCACGCTTTAGGGAGCTCAAAAACACTTTGGTAGGAATTTTCTTGTCCTGAAGTTTGCCAGAATTGGAGCATCCGGTCATCCCGGCTCAAAGCGTCTTCTATCAATGCTCCAACACTTTTACGGCGCCCATTACACTACATACAGTTAAGCTTTCACGATCGTTCGGAAAAAAATTAAATGGCCTGACCATTCGTCGCCCCTATTAATCTCACAAAATTTTTTCAACGATCTTAGATAATTAGTAGATAATTGTAAAATGGAGATCAAAACTGTCAAACACTTGTCACTAAACAGCCACATAAAAGTAAAAATAGCAACGCTATATAGGGTTGCTGACAAAAAAATTTTCATGCACATATCCATCTCCAGGAACCCATCTGTCAGGTCCTTGAGCTGCTTGTTGGTGGCACTGGTGAAATGATTAGGAGAAATCTACGGATAGTTATAATCCCTAACATTCTAAAAGATGCAGTTGACCCTTCAAAATGTACCTACAACAATCTACGAAATGCATGAATGTATTACAATCTCATATACACTCATCTTCTTTGTATGATGCGCATACTGTCCCTTAATTACATACATATTACCGGAACCTTATGAAAATAATCGACGACTCTTGAAGCGAATATCCAGTGAGAGGGGCTGACTGCGTTAACTTTCTGGGTTAGACGGTAAATGTAATGTCAGATTTTGACGCTCTTGTCTATCTTGTCTCTGACCCAAGGCATACCTGCAGCAATTCCGTCAAATCGCTGAATCTCCGCGTCTTGGCATTTTGCCAGATCTTTAAGGAATTACCGTGCGCGGCACTTATATGCCAGGCGCGTAGCTTTTGTATATTGTCACAAACTCATCAAATCTTACCTCAGCAAAGCGCGTTTACTCAATGTGAAATCCGTGGGTGCCGAATGGCGCAGGTTTGAAATCGCGTGAGATACGCCATGAGCTTATGAGGTGTGCTTTGCTAATATCAGAGGTGTATCTACCTTGAAGGCAGCGTCCATCCATAAGTTCGTCTCTTATGTTTTGTCATTCTGGCGCCTTTCTGTGGTTTTGATTACGATTATGATGTTGAAATTGTCCAAAATCCGCAAAAAACCCGATTCCTGGAGACTCAGTTTCGAGGGCGCAGACGGGTTCCAGTACTGGATGGGCGGAGCTTGATAGGATCTGGGCGGGGCATGATAGCACTTCGGCTGTTCGTCCCATTATCTCCACTCAGAGATATCATTGGAGGGCCACGCACATAGATGCTCCTCTCCTGGGGCTTACTTTCAGGATTGGCAATAATCCGAGGGAATTAGATTTAACCACACTGCCTCCGAATTTTCTTGATAGTTACTGTGCCTCTGCGTAGCAGTCAAGCGGAGCTCGCTGGTATTCGTTTTTTGGCATTTGTTTCCCTCCAGCGTAAATAAAAAAAATTCTTCGCTGATGAAAAATGGTTATGTGATCCTTGCTTCTTAATCTCATTGAGTGCAATCATACAATTACTTTTAAATCCTAATTCCTCTCTTTACAAGTTAATTATAAGATGAATAATAAATAATAAATAATAAACTCAGCTCTCAGTGAGAAAATTTTTATGTCAATTTGACATTCTACATACTTACATTTTAATGATCGATCCATTATCTATTTATGCTGCAACCAAGAGCGTATATTGAACAATCTGAACAAAAACGAAGCATTTATATCTGTTCCCATTGATTCTCGGCTACCCTATTGGTCGATTTCATGCT